TTTTTTGTGCCACGGCCCGGTACCGGCATCACAAAATCATCCGCGGCCCGGTACCGGCATCAGCACGCATGGCAAGGCGAGCCGAGCGACCGGCCAGCCAGTCGTCCCCCGCTTCTCCCCGCCACCTTCAACTCCTCCTTTGTACCTGTGTCGATGGGCTTTGGGACGGCTTCAGGATGGTCGCTCAGCTCGCCTTGCCATGCATGCTGAAAGAATCCTCGCACCTTAGTTTTGTTCGAAGCCGCCCCCCCCCCGATGAAACTAAGGCGCGAGGATTCTTTCAGCACCCAAACGCCACTTTCTACCCAGAAAAGCTCACCGGAAGCACTTTTTCATCAAAACAAGATGGCAGCGCCCAGCAAACTGGCGGCCCGGTAGAAATTGTTCCACGGACTGGTACTGGTCCCCGGACCGGTGGTTGGGGACCCCTGCTTATATAGATTGTGTCAGCTTCTATTCTTTTAGCGATTCACTGATAAGTACAATTTGACCAGGTGCCCAACTTTTTGTATACAATTCTGCAAAATTCTTTTTCCTTCACAAAAGAACTGGGGTTTAGAATAGCAGTTATGATCTCTGTATGTTACTCCAGGTGCCATGTTGTGGCAGGCATTACACCTTCTGCATTTAGAATCCAACTTATAAATATAAAATTCAGTTAATTCAAACTAAACATCTATTCAGCTTCAAAATTCCTGAATTTTTGGCACAATTCATTTTTGCAGCTGATTTAACAGCTAGGTTTCATTGGTAGATGATGAAACAGTTGTGATGTGGTATACTGTTAATTACAGAACAGTGATGTACTGGAACTGTGTATACACATTGTCTTCTGATATTTCATTTTGACTGTATTTGACAAGTTTAATCTGATCGGTAGCTACAAACTTCCTGGCTGATTGCCCCCAGGGATGGGTTGATTTCTATTAGTAAACAATTAATTCTGCCACTGCTTATTAGTTTGCTGCAGGTAAAAGGAAAGTATATAGAACACTTATTCAAAAGATCATCATACTTACTCATTTAGTTGTCTTTAAAAAAATAGCTTGATTAAAGAGCTGGGAGATAAGGCTATGTTTATAAATCTTGTCTTTGGACCCTCAAGATATCTGGCAGTCAGGACTTTAGGCTCTTACTGAAGGCCAGGAGGATTGACTTACTGTATATGTAATATAGAAACAAGAGAAATGCCATAAGCACAAAGGGGTAAGGACAGCACAAGCTCAGATAATCCTTTTATGTAGTAATTTCTTCTTCAGTGTACCTAATATATGCACATAATGTAGGAAACGTTGTGCGCTTGTGGAGTTTCGGATAGCTGTTTCATTTTCCCACTGGCCCAGCTGAATAACATTCCCAAAGGATTACTGAGAAAAGCAGATAACTTGTTTACAGACTTGAAAATTAGAACAACAAAAATGAGTTTTGATTAGCACAGGGGAACAATCTTTCTGAATGGAAAATGAATGTGTGTATATTATGTGTGCGCACACATACAAGCAATCAAAGGTTTCCAAAAATTTAGTTGGCAAGAGATAATATTTCCCCTCTTGATTGGAATCCAGTTTTCACAGTAAAGGATGTAATTATAAGAAATGTGATGCTCCTATCATAAAAATAATTACTTTGAGAAAGGTAATGCCTTTGTGCAGTGGTTTCTCTATTTAGGTTTTTTTTTCCAACTATAGCTTTTGTAAATGCCTTATTTCTGCACGTAAGCATATACTGAATGAAGGCAAATATATACATCCCAGGATAAGTTGCAGGAATGTTGTGGAATACATTCTGATAGAAGTTATCTGAGAATGGGCTCCATCATGAGTTCGAAAGCATGGAAGACTAAACCTTTGGTCCCAGGGACCAACCCAGATTGGATCCGGAAGTATACTGTACCTCTCATATGGGAGGCCCAACAATAGTCTGTGTATAGAAGAGTAGTTGTGTTATAGGTTCTACCCCAGTAATATATATCATGATATTGTTCATTGGTGGATTGATAATACCACTGATTCTGGGTGAGAAAGAACAAGCTACCCAGAAAATAGCCAGCACCTATGCTTCTCTTGTCCTGTCAAACTCGATTTCATTGAGGGCCGCATTAGGGTTGTGTTTGACCGCAGGGATCTTGGGGGGGCATGGTCAGGATAAACATGGTCAGCATGATATCACTCACGTTGGGAGGGAGGGGTGACTGTGGTGGCCTGAGCATTCTGCCAGCGAAAACAGAATTTGGGAGGTCTGTGCACAACCTTTGCAAGCACCGTTCCATAGGCAGAGACACTGCGGGCCGGTCCTTTGCTGTCTCCAGCGCAGTCCTGTGGATCAGATCTAAGTACCCCATGGGCCAGATTTATTTATTTATTTATTTATTTATTTATTTATTTATTTATTCATTCATTCATTCATTCATTCATTCATTCATTCATGTTCATTCATAAGTTAACAGGTATAAGTATAAACATAGTTATGAATACATGAAATGGATACATATAAGAAAAATAAAAAAAATAAACAATAGGATAGGGATGGTAGGCACATTGGTGCGCTTATGCACACCCCCTAAGATGCAGTCCCCGAGCCTTGAGTTTGACATGCCTGCTTTAAGCCTTTCCCCAATTAGCAGGATAATGTGCTGTGCTGAAAGAACGTGGTATGTGAAAGAGAGGAGAGGCAAGAGGTATTTGTATGTGGAAGTATGCCTGAAGCAGCTAGAAAGAGATAATTTTCTCTAGTAAAACTCTCAAGGAGTAAGACTAATAGGACTCCTGAGAAGTAGCAGTAGGAGTAGTGTGCAAGAGTGGAGTAGGAGTAAGTCGTGAATATAGCTGTGAATGCTTGTTTGTGTTGTTTAGGGACCTGTGTTGTTATTGGCTCTTTGAATATAGTTGAATATAGTTAAAAGAACCTGTGACATTCTGGTGATACGGATTTGTGATGGTTTTTTTAGAGCTAAAGATAATATAGTTTGTTAAAGAAACATGAGGAGTTAATACTGTTTAGGAACGTTTCAGATTATAGCTAGGTTGAGTTTGATTTATGGGCAAATGCTTATACCAATTTTTGTGAATGAAGTCCAAAGTTGGCCTTTTGTATTCGTAATATTGTGCATGTTGCAGGACAAGATAGCTGGGCATTAACATGAGAAACAGGAATTTGAACTAATAATGCAGCGCTAATTCGGTTTTCTGTAGCTTTGTCTGATGGATTTCCCTGGGGTTCATGAAGAGCTATTCAGAAAAAGCTTTTGAAATTCTTTTTTTTTTAATTGAAAAAAACCTGGACATTTCGTCATACCCTTCTTTCCCTTTCCCACAGTATCTTTTACACTTCTTTCAGTAGGCTGTTTGGAAGCTGAGGCAGTGGAGGAATAAAGAAGTGGAGCAGCAAAACATGCTATGTGTTTGGTCTTATTGATGTATGCATTTCTAAAAAGGCTGGCTGGGTTTATATTACAAAATGAGAATGAATAGATTGTGAATTTGCATTTATTTATTGATTGATTTATTCATTCGTTCATTCATTCATTCATTTTCTTATATGTATCCATTTCATCTTGCAACCTACAGAAAAAGCATCTTTTCCGATAAAGCCCAAATAAACAAGATATGCATGATAGTGTGAACTTCGAGTTAAATATATCCAGAAATCCTGCATTTAGCATTGTCCTAAACAAAATATCCTATTATACCATCAGCCTTGAGAAACCATTTTGATGCCCAACATTATATCCCAGATGTGTTAGAACTTCAGTTCTCAGAATTCCAAGCTGTTGTTCCTGCTGGCTAGAAACTCTGGGAGCTTATGGGTTTTGCTGAGGATTATCCATTTGGAAGATCATTCTCCAATGTGGCATTTGCAAATTTCACTTGAGTTTTACTCAAGCAGTATCTTCAGTGGATGCCCAGCTCCCAACGGAATTCTGTTTGTATAAATAGCAGCTATACTTACACTACTAAAATACATGGAGCAATTACTCTTTTTTTGCAATGTGCATATAATTTAAACTTAAGAAAATGTTTCCTAAGTTGTCTTCCTCCCCCTCCCCTTATTTATCTTGGAAAGAAGAAGAGCTGTTTCTGAAATGCTTAAGATAGAAAATGCCAATTTTAGAAAACAGGCTGACCATATCCTACAGCATCTTATCTGCATTCAGGTTTCACTCAGCTACTCTCAGTAATGTGTTTCCATTTGTTTATCCTGCTTAAATATTTTCATCCTTAATATGGGACATAATACATAGTATGTAATGTAGTATATAAGATAATGTGTAAGATAATATAATGTGCTAGTGCCTGGGGGAGAAAGATGTTCTAATTTCATTCTGATCTTGGTATTGACCTAAATAACCTAACAGGATTAGAAGCAGGTTTTAGACTGGAGCATAATATCTGGCTTTATTCCACCATCCTTTGCTGAATTGTTATTTCACACAAGGAAGCTCTGATCTGATCTGCTGGTGGTTGAAGGGCTAGTTGCTCTTAAGACTGTCATGTTTTATTTCCTGTTGCATTGTTATGGAAGGTCATTAAGGATGTTGTCAGATTCTAGTTGCTCAATACGGGTCATGAGAATTGCCAGCTGATTTCCTATTTTAACAGCTACGGAAAAGGTAAGTTTTTGGTGAGTCATAGAAAGTGAAAGTCTCTGATGATTGACTAGGTAAAACAAATACACATTGTCTCTATTCAGCATTGGTCTTCAACTTTGAAATATCAACACAAGCTAAGGCACATTGCACAGCTGTTTCATTTCTGTTTGGGTATGGTTGGAAGAGGTTTCTTTCTTTTTTTTGAGTTCCGAGCAAATTTTGAATAGGGGGAAATCTAAGAATGTTTCCTTTTAACAGATCAAACCGTCTATTGGAAAACAAATACCAAAAAGGAAAGACAATGTGAATCCTATGTTGGGTTATCTGGCATATCTTGTATGCAGTCGGGGTGGGTGAGAAGAGCAGAATAATATCAAGGATGGCTATTCATTTAGTTTTTTCTACTTCCTAGGTCTGAATAATAATAAGAAGAAAGATGGCGTCAGGCTGCCTGAAAGTCACAAAATATTTTCTTTTCCTGTTCAACCTTCTTTTCTTTGTAAGTATTTGCAGATACAATCTCAATACACGTTTTTTTAAATTAGCACAGAGAGGATTTATGCCAGAAGTGAATCTGTGGCCCTCCAGATGTTGCTGAAATACTCCTAGCTTGTTCCTCACCATTGATGACACATACTGAGTATTCTGAGAGTCACAGTTCAGCACTGTTTGGTGGGCCGTAAGTTTCTCTTCTCTTTCCTAGCCTAATAGCACAAGTAAATTATAAGACTTATTAGAAACAAGGGTTCCAGCTATCACAAAATCATTGCTATAGGGCACCAGCACAAGGCATAAACTGAATGGGATGTTTAATTATTATATGGGGAAAAATAAATATGTTTATATTCAGTTGAATGGAGGAATATTTAGCAAGATTGACGATATGGAGGGCTGGGTAACAATCTGAGCATTAAGGGTTTCCCCCCTAAAAACATTACTCAAAAGAAGAATTGGGCAACATGATGGTCTCCAAATGTTTAGGAAATAGCCTCAGTAACCATGGCCCTGGCCACTGGGACGAATAGTTAATGACTTCTGGGCCCCCAAACATTTGGTAGGGTATTAAAATGCTATTGTATTCAGAGATATTGTTAACTGTAATCAGAGATACCATCTTACCTGTAGGATATTTGTTTTATGATGACCAATATAAAGGGCACATTGCAAATGAATAATAAAATAATATTTTATGCAATCTAAGCTAATCAACTCTACAAAGATATATTGAATTGGATTACAGCAATGTGGACTGGGTGATTAAAGTTCATTAAGGATTTCAGACTTATTGAGCATTTTGGTATTATTGAAATCATCAAAATATTATGTTAATGGTCTTATTTCACAACTCAGTAACTTGTTAATTAGCTGGAATAATGAATAATTTTTCTCATATAAAATAATTCTCAAAGGAAAAAAAGACATGGTATTGATTGTGTATTATCTATAAAAGTTTTGGCTTAAGTGTTTTGTGTGTTGTACGCTCTCTTTGACACACAGCCAAATCGATGGCCAATGCATGTTAATCAAGCCCATTTCAAAACAATGTTCATTGCAGTAGTCAAGTTAAGCAGTAAATCTATTTCTAGGACAAAAAAATCAGGAAAAAAAAGACTAGACATAAAGGCCAACTCTTCTTAAAGATGATGTCTGTGTCAAAGCTCTTTATGTCACTATTTAGTTGTAGAGGGCCATAGTATAGTTAACTGATATATTTCTGCTGCTCTTGCAGTGATCTAATCACAGATATCGACAATTTCCCCTTTCACTCTCTTTCTAGATGAGTTCCTTTGACAAAGTACTATTACCTTGATTTTTTAATTAATACATAAATTTATGCAAAGGTTGCCACATAGGAGGTCTCCAGAAGTTGCTAAATTATGGCCCTATGCAGCCAGCACCAATATGGGCTTGGTATGAAAAGTTTGGAGGAATTGTTATATTATTATCTGTTCACAAGAATGTGAATCCATAGTTGCCACTTCTTTAGCTGGTGTTGGTCTTCAAAAGCATTGAGTTCTTCTCAAGAACCTGGAATGTCATATTGCATAATATATGCAGTTCAAGCAGAGTGGCTATTTGCAATTGATGGATACAATTTTTGTCAATATGCAGGTTTTCTAAGTGCCATCCAGGAATTTTTGGTATGGCACCTATCATGCCAAAACCACTGGGATCATTATGGCAGGCTTATGCCATAATCTTTCAGTTTTTAGATCTTAATACTTTGTGATCTCCAATTCTTTGCCTTCTATTGTACTATCCTCTGGTATTGCCACATCAATTATCCATAGTTTTTTTTTTTCAGCCACAGTTATATCTGATGCACTATGAACCAAGATTATCGATCTGTATTCAGAAATAGTACAATATTTGTTTTCTACTACTGTTTTCAACTCTTGTGTTCAGTTTTTAATTGCTGGCACAATTAAAAAATTATTAATTAAATTTTCAATTAATTAAATTTTTTTACAGATGTTCCAGGGAATCATTTTGATGACTGTGTTATGTGTTGTTATTTTATAATCAGTTTACGTATATTATTATTATTACCATATTCCGGCTTCAGAAGACTGCTAATCAAATACTACCCACACTGTGGATTTCTAACTTATTTCTACGGTATTTTAGCTAATTAAAAGTTGAGTATATTCTAAAGAAGATTTTATAACCCATGTTTTTTTTCCTGGCTGTTTATAAGAATAAAATGTGTTAAATTAACTTTTAAATGATAATAAAGGCTAAAGATAATAAATAAACGAAGATGCTGGCAAGTCTATTTAGAACCTCCAACTACAGGGAAAATTATTACAGGAAGCTATTTTACTTGTATGTTTTATTTCTAGCTTTATTATTATTTTATTTTTATTTATTTCACCAAGACTAACTCTAGTTATTTTACCTAGATTACACTTTTGCATTTATCATGATAAAATATGGTGAATCACAAACTGGAAATAAACATGAGATGTGAAATATATTTTGTTTCTGATTTGTTGATGTTTTTGCATTAATAGCTGAATTCAGACCTATAAATATTCTGCTAGTTGTTAGGAATAATAAGATATTTTCATTGTTTTTCTCATTGTACACCATATTAGAAAACACCACCATCAAACTATTTTTATTGAGATGAAATGCATACCTCATGTTTCAGAAAGCACCATCATATTGAAGTGGTTACTCTGCTTGTTTCTTTTCATCAGTTCAATCACATCCAACTTTCAGAGACTTCATAGATTATTCTAAATTCTTTCTAATAATTTACAACTTTATTTAATATTTCTAGGTTTAAAGCAGTATTTTGCTTGATAGAAACTCTCAAGAATGTTATTTGCTGATCCTGTTTTGTTTCTTCAACTGTTCCTAGTATAATTGATTTTTCAAAGGAATTCTAATGTATGACATGATCAAAATAAGACAGCCTTAGCTTGGTAATCTTAGCTTCCAGTGATATTTCTGGTTCAATGTGATCTTCTTGTTCATCATTTTTGCCGTCCAAGGTATGTAGATAATCATCTCCAAACCCATAATTTGAGGGAGTCTAGGTTTTTTTCCCCCCCACTCTACTTTTCTTATTATCCAAACGGTGTTTTGCAACTGTAGGTAGTGATAGGAAAAAATGATAGAGTTCATTATTCTGCATTTGGTATCAAAATAATGCTTTTTGAAATCATTTCCATGATTGTCATTGCAGCGCTCCCATTGTTTAACTTTGAGGTCTTTGTTTATTCAGTTTTGGTCCTGAGGAAAATAAAATCCTGAACTGATTAATTTTTATCTTCCAGTTATCATCACAACTATATTGTTTTTGATGTTCAGAAGCAATCTTGTCTTTTTAATTTCTGCTTTCACTTTTATACCTTATTCAGTTTTACAGTATAGCAATGTCATCTCGATATCTTAAATGCTTTTATTTCAATTTTCAAGTCATCTAAATTAAAGTTCCTCAAAACTGCCTCAATATATAAATTTAATAGAAAAACTGATAGAATAGTAGAAGTGAATCAGAAGTTTTGGAATGCCCTTTTCTTTTAGGTATTTCCATAATTTTTCATATTTAGTGCAATGAACAGTTTTACCGTAGTCAATGAAAGATAAATATACATAATTTTGAAATTTACATGCATGTTCTGTGAAATCTAATTTTATTATTTTTTCTAGTTTGATGTTAAACTTCTTCATTTAGCTGTTTTGCCTCATCTCTATTGCCCATAATTTTAGCTTTCTTTTTGGTTCAGCGATCTGGATAGTTTCTTTTGCTCACCATTTATTTCCTTGTTTTCAGGTTTTTTATGTGTATATGCAACATGTTTCTGAACTGGTTTATTGAACTGCTTTATTGATGTTTTTCATTTTTTCCTTTCTCTTATCTAATTAAGCAAATTGGTACTGTTCCTTAATTTCAGCTGAACATAATTTGTTTTTTCTTTTTGGTATCATATTTCCTGGGTGTTCAAATCTGAATCTGAAACAGACTTTGGCTACAAATAGTTGTGGTCCAAACCACAGTCTGCAGCAAAAGTAAAGAAATATGTTTTTTCCCCCCACTGTTGGCTGTATAAGATGTAATCGGTTTGGTTGTAGTACAGTCCATTTTGGGATGCCATGTATTCATGTGACATTCATCAATTTTGATGTTGGACTCTTCCATAATGAATCCTGTATATATGTTGGCACTTGATGTAGCACTTTATGAATGTCGGCACAGAACTGCTTTATTCCTTCTTCAAATGTATCTTTTGTTCCTGCATAAATGTTGGAAATTGTGACATTTGGCTGTATATCTTGGACAAAAAAACCTGTGATCCATTGGGTCACCCTTTTAGAGATATTTCCTTACTTAAACAAACAAACAGTAGTTGGTGCTGTTTTGGTTTTAAAATTAAAGAAAATGAAACCATCATTTTATTAAAGAAGAAAGATCTGTAACAAGACACAAATATAGATGCTTCTTATTTAACAAAGGATACTTTTGATGACAACAATTGTGATTGATCTGCCACATACAGCTGACTATGCTGGAATACTGGTTTCACCAGATAAATCATTCTCGATGGTTTGTTCTCCCTCTTTATATATAGTGACAGCAAAGCATGAATGAATTCAGAACTGCCCACTGAAGAGGAACATCTTCACCTTCTGATAAATTGAGTGTAATTCTTGGAATCATGACAATGTCATTTTTTGCATGCATCAAAGTTTATCTTTGCTACAATGACATTACTGGGGAGTTCTTCCACAATCATCCCAATTTCAAACTCTTGGAAGATTCCTAATTAAAATTCCTTATTAAAATGGCAAGAGATTCTGTCTTCCATGCTATGGAAAATGAATAGCACTAGCTCCTTCACTGAGCGCATTAAAGGAACAATAATATTTAATCATTCCAGCTAATGCATGTGGATTATTTTTATCCTTATTTCATTGAGGGAACCATTGTAGAGTTCTCTGAAAACAGTTCTACAGGATTGTCAAATGTGGTAGGTGAAATTTACACAT